GGTAGAATGATTGGGAAAGCATTCCAACCAATCCAAAGCCTTGCCCCTTAGTGAGAAGGGAAAAAGCCTTAGCCGCAAAGCATCTTCCGAAATATTTGTTTGTTTTCTCCCCCAACACATATCCACAAAACCTTTCAAATGCTTGTAACCATTTTGACTCAGAGCCCCGATGAATAACCTCATTGCTCGAGCAAAGTGAGCATCACATTGGTAATTTGAAAGTTTCCCGCCCTAATACGGGGGGGGGGGGGGGGGGACTATGGCACTTACATAACCTTCATTGGGCAAAATCCGATATTGTGCCACTTGTGGTTGTCGTTGTGGTTGTGGTGGATGCACATTGTCTTTTTGACCACGACCTCGACAATTTTTTTGTGGAACTTGAGGCATTTCATCAAATTGCTCCTCTTCGCCATCCACTTCTCCCAATGGCAAGTTTCCAAGCTCGTTATTCGCCATTTGGCACCTATGATCACTTCAATAAATTAGAATCACGAAAGTAAATGAAGATATTTCAAGAAACAAACTCAAGTATATATCTAAAACCATAAAACTCCCCGGAAATGGCACCAAAAATTGCTCACGTCCAATTCACACCCAAATAACGAGTATGAAATGGTCGTTACAATTATAAAAACCCAACGCGAGTCGGGGTCGAATCCACATGGAGTTTAGATCGATGCTAAGGTAAACACTCAAGAAGAGAACGTGAAATAACTAGATTTATCTTTCAAACAACAGTGAGAAATTGTTATCTAAGCTGACTTCTAAGAAATTAAACTAAATAGTAGCAACTAGTGAATGAAATATTTTTGGTGTTTATATCAAATAAGGGAAAAGCTTAGGGATGTGACCTTCACCTAGGTCTAAACCTAATGGGTAGAGTAAATCTATGCTTGTTGGGTAGATCGGGGTGTGTTATGACTCTCAATTCTCAAGTACCCACTCAATACCTCTCTGTTAAATAATGGTTATGCCCAAATTGGCTTTCTCAAGACCAAATGGGTAGAAATCAAAACAATTGATATGAGTCCAAGTGGGATTATCCCTATCTCTAGTTCAAATCCTTTAATCAAACTAATCAAAACCTCAACTAGTTCAATTTCTTGTTAGCCAAGGTTTCTTTTTCTCAAGCAAGAACTAAGTCAAATAGGCATGAATCAATGTTTGCAACCATTAATTCTAGATATAAAGTATAAACAAGGCTAAATAACATACACCCAATCAATAACAAGCATTAATATTAAACACCCAAAAGTTTTACACACTAGGGTTGGGTCACAATCCTAGATACAATCTAGCAACTCATATTCAAAGACATAGAAATGAAAAAGATGAAGTAATTGAACAAAAAAAACTAAAAGTAAAAATGTAAAAGTAATGGGTGTTCTCTAATTTTTGTCACCAATTTCCCAAAATAGCTAGCTCTAACCGCTACCGATTGCTACAGTACAAAACGTTTTCAGAAAAAGTGTTTCTCATCTATTTATAGTGCTCAGATATTTGCTGACAAAAATACCCTTTGAGAGGTTCTGCGGCCGCACAATTTGTCTGCGGACAACACTTTCTTCCGTTGCTCTTGTAGTAAGAGGGATTCTGCGGCCGCATAATAACTTCTGCGGCCGCACAATTTGGCTGCGAACCGCGCTTCAAGGAGGCTTCAAATTTGATCTTTTGCAGCTTCTATGAACTTTCCACGCTTGTCAGTGTGAACAACTTTTGCGACCGCACAATTTGGTGTGCGGACTATGTTGCTGCTAAACCCTTCTGAAGCTTTAAGGGTAAATCTGCGGTCGCACTTGTCTTTTTGCGGGCCGCTTTTTCATCTGCTACCACAGAATAAGTTTTGCGGACTGCACAATCCTTTGCATTGATCCTCTTTGACTAGTTGAGCTGGGGCATCTCCTTTTTGCGTTAGATTTCTTCATTGAGCTCACATCCCCCAGCATGCCTGCAATTCATAGAATTTCATTAGATTCGGAAACAAAAATCACTACTTCCAAAATAAGTGGTTAAAATCTACAATTATCAGAAACCACGTGAAGGTTTGTGATACAAGCATCCCTCACCGGTGCGAATATCCATAAGAAGGGCAAACAATAATTATATCACTATGGAAGATGAATTTGCTGCTTTCCATAGGACTTCTATATTTGATTCACTTGAAAAATCAACTGTGAGGACTTCCGTATTTGTGATTTTTGGTATATTAAAGAAGAAGAATAAATTTATGAAAATTATCTAAACACAAGAACACCCACTTCGCTCAGGATCTAGAAGGCCTCTAAGTATTTCCAAAGTTTGCTTCTTTCTAGAAAGAGGCGACAAACAAAACTTGTGGTTCCATGTGAAGAAGTACTGAAGTAAAGCCATACACCAGGTCTAAACTAAGGAACATGATGAATACGAAGAAAGTGTGGGTTCTTCGTATCATGTTACTGCACTAGACGAGCAAGGTACTTCATCTCTAATGGAAGACAACGAGAAACTGGAGGATGTTTCATCGTGTAATCACATATCTTTCAATAATGGGGACCCTCCAGAAGATGAAGATGCGAAAGATGCTCCACCTGAACTTGAAGAAGGGGTGAAGACAATGGTTGATGCTTTAAAAGAAGTTAACCTTGGCACTGATGAAGAACTGAGGCCCACCAACCTAAGTGATTTATTAGTAGCTGATGAAGAAAGCACTTATATTGAGTTACTCAAGGAGTTTAGGGATGTCTTTGCTTGGAGTTATAGGGAGATGCCTGGCTTGGACCCTAAAGTAGTAGCCTATCACCTTGCAATCAAGAATGTCGTTCGTCCTGTTAAGCAAGATCAAATGCACTTTAGATCGGACTTGGTTCCCTTGATTGAAAGTGAAGTTAACAAACTCATTGAAGCTGGATTTATTCATGAAGTTAGATACCCAACGCGAGTTTCAAGTATTGTCCCAGTGAGAAAAAAGAATGGCCAAATTCAAGTGTGCGTCAACTTTAGGGACCTCAACAATGCATGCCTTAAGGATGAATTCCCGCTTCCTATTCTAGAGATCATGATTGACGCTACCACTGGGTACGAGGCAATGTCATTCATGGATGGTTCATAGGGATATAACCAAATTTGCATGGCACTTAAAGATGAAGAGCTTACAGTAGTTTTCTTTTTACCCCAAAGATATTTATTGCTACAAGGTGATGCCTTTTGGCTTGAAGAACGCCGGTGCCACTTACCAAAGGGCTATGGAGAATATTTTTGATGATCTTCTCCACAAGAATGTCGAATGCTATATTGTTGACTTGGTGGTAAAGTCAAAAAAGAGGAGTGACCACCTAAAAGACTTAAGAATGGTGTTTGAGTTGCTTCTTAGGTACCAATTAAGGATGAATCCATTGAAATGTGTCTTTGGAGTTACTTCTGGAAAGTTCCTTGATTTCATTGTCTGGTATCGAGGGATCGAAATTGATCAAGCCAAAGTTGATGCAATTTTAAAATTGCCCGAGCCTACAGATATTCATGAATTGAAAAGTTTGCAAGGAAAGCTAGCTTATCTTAGGAGATTCATCTCGAATCTAGCTGAGAGATGCCCATCATTCACTCGCCTAATGAAAAAAGGTGTCCCTGTCAAGTGGGACCAAGCGTGTAACAATTCCTTCGAGATCATTAAAGCTTACTTGATGAAACCTCCAGTTTTAGCAGTCCCTATACCTGGAATGCCATTGATACTATTCATTGCGGCACAAAAAAGGTCTGTTAGAGAACTGTTGGCCCAAGAAAATAGTGAGTTGAAAGAAAACTCCCTTTACTACTTGAGCAAAATGATGACACCGAATGAGCTAAATTATTCGCCAATCGAGAAGTTGTGCTTGGCGCTAGTCTTCTCAATTCAAAAGTTGAAGCACTACTTTCAAGCTCATATCATTCTTCTTGTTTCTAGAGAAAATCCCATGAAGTTTGTAATGTCAAAACCAGTCCTTAGTGATTGACTAGCAAGGTGGTGCCTCCAATTCCAACAATTTGAGATTGTATACATTCCTCAAAAGGCTATAAAAGGACAAGTATTGACAGACTTTTTGGCAGATCACCCGATACCCGATGATTGGGAACTGACTCATGACCTACTTGACGAAGATGCAATGGTTGTTCAAGTACAACCTCCATGGAAGATGTACTTTGATGGTGCTGTACATCGTGGAGGAGCTGGTGGTAACATAGTGTTTGTCACTTTTCAAGGGGTGGTTCTGCCCTACTCCTTTATGTTGACACAACTCTGCTCCAACAATGTTGCTGAGTATCAAGCATTAATACTTGAACATGAAATGGCTGTCGATATGAGGCAGTTTCAATTGCAAGTCTTTGGTGACTCCCAATTGGTGATCTACCAGCTTTTAGGTAGTTACGAGGTCAAGAAACCTAAACTACGCCCATATAATTATTATGCTAAAAACTTAATGGGATGGGTCGATGGCGTGACTATTCAACATGTTCCTAGGAAAGAAAATAAGAAGGCTGATGCTTTAGCTTCTCTAGCCTCATCGTTAACTCTGCCTGATCAAGCGCAAGTTACTATTTACCAAAAGTGGGTAGTACTACTACCAAATATGGGTGAAAGTAAAGAAAATGAAGTCGAGCATCTTGTCGTTGCTTATGAATCTAAGAAGGAAGATTGGTGATAACCCATCATTGACTACTTGAGATATGAGATACTTCTAGAAAATCTAAGAAGAAGGACTACAATCCACCGTCGCGCACCACGTTTTCTTTACTACAAGGATTCTCTATACAGAAGATCATTCGAGGGAGTACTTTTGTGATGCTTAGGGGCATATGAAGCACTCCAAGCTTTGAAAGAGGCACATTCTAGGGTATATGGATCACATCATACTGGGCCAAAGCTCCACTTCCATATAAAAAGGATGGGATATTATTGGTCAACGATGGTAAAAGATTGCATGGACTATGCTCGAAGATGCAAGGCTTGCCAGTTCTTGGAAAACTTTATTCATCAGCGTCCTGATATGCTACATCCGACAGTTGCATCGTGGCCATTCGATGCTTGGGGATCGGATGTTGTTAGAACGCTACCAAAATCTTCTGGCGGACATTTGTATATCTTGGCTGCAACCGATTACTTCTTAAAATGGGCAAAAGTTGTTGCTCTCAAGGAAGTAAAGAAGGAGAATATTGCAAACTTCATCAGAGTAAATATCACCTATCGCTTTGGCATTCCTCGTTACATAATAATATATAATGGCAAGCCATTTGATAATAAATTGATGAACAAGATTCATTTTCTCTTTGGCTTCACGCAACGTAACTGTTCTATGTACAATGATACCGCCAATGGTTTAGCTGAGTCATTCATTAAGACTCTATGCAACATGTTGAAGAAAGTCATCTCCAAATCCAAATGAGATTAGCATGACCGTATGGGAGATGCTCTATGGGCGTAAAGGACAACTCACTACAGACCAACACAAGCAACTCCTTATTCACTCATCCATGGAGTCAAGGCTATTTTGCCACGAGCATCAAATACCTTCTTTGCGATTAGCTCTTCAAGAAGGTATCACTGATGAAGAAAAGGCTCGACTTCGACTAGTAGAGTTGAAGGCTCTTGATGAGAAGAGGTTGGAGGCTCAATAGAGTCTTGAATGTTATCAAGCTCAATTGTCTCGCGCTTTCAATAAAAGAGTTCGCCCGAGATCCTTTTAGGTAGGACATCAAGTCTTTGCTGTATGAAGACCCATTATCACTTCCCATAAATCTGGAGGGAAGTTCACTTCAAAATGGGATGGGCCATATATTGCGTAAGAAGCTTATTCAAGTGGGTCTTACAAGCTGGTTGATGTAGATGGCATGAGAGTCGTCCCGATCAATGAGAACTTTTGAAAAAGTATTATCTTTGAAGTTGCTATGCTCCTCAATGCAAGAGGATAAACTGCACGTTACTCCTGGCCCGCAAGAGTATAAACTGTGTACGACCCAAAAAACGTCTGGTAGATTGAAAACCTCGAGATAGGCGGCCTAAGCAAAATTTAGGACATTAAAAAAAACTCACCCATTCTGAACTACGTTATGATTTGATCCTCTTCACCGGGTACATAGGCAGCTTATAGTTTCATTCTAAGATCAGTCGCATGAATTCAAAAATATATTGCCCCAATCGTGGTCCGAACTAAGTATGATGGAATATAATCCACTCAATTAGTTATCACGACCCAAATCCCGTAATAGGCCGCGATGACGCCCAACGATGTGGTTAGGCAAGCCAACGGTGAACCTCCAATTTAATTATCAGATTTAGCCTTTAAGTTTAGAATTTTCATTAATTAACTAGGAACTAAACATGAAACTCATGGAAACATATACACTGCTTTACCAAAAATAAAGGGTACAAATAGTACATAAAGTAAGGTGATAATAACAACAAGTACAACTGTGAAAGTCCACTAGAAGCCCCCAAAATCCGGTGTCATAAGTGCATGAGCAATCTAGGGAATGTATAAAACTACTATAGCTACTATCTGAAATAAAATATAAAGAAACAATAAATAAGGTAGAGGGAGACTAAGGGTGCTGCAGATCGAAGAAGGACAATCATCTCACCACTAAGTCTCCGTGAAAATGCGTCTACGCACCCGTGTGACCATTGGAAGTACCTGACTCAGTACCTACCCAATCAGTGCAAAAGTGTAACGTGAGTACGTAAATCAACGTGTACCCAGTAAGTATCTAGTCTAACCTCGAAGAAGTAGTAACGAGGGGTCGACTTGACACTTATTAGTGGTCAAATAATAAAATATATAAAGTAGAAATGTATGAAGTACAACAAGTAGCAACGAACAGATAAACCTTTAATAGTAAATTTCCAAACATGGATCAATATGAAATCATTAAAATGTCATAACCATCCTCGAAGGCACGAACTCAGATGATATTAATACCAAATCAAATCTCAAGTATTAAGCACGAGTCTGCCGAGGTGAACGACCCGATCCCACATGAATAGTGATACACAGTACTGCCGAGGTGAACGATCCGATACCATAAGAGTAGTATTACCATACTACCGAGGCAAACGACCCGATCCCATAAGATTAATTTACAACACTGTTGAGGCGGATGTCCCGATCCCATTAGAATAGAATCTCACTCACGAAAATACATGCAAGTTGGGAAGACACGGATCTATTATTCATCAAGTATTCCATAATTCCCAAAGTAAGAGAATCTGTCAATATGTTATTCTAGCCTTAGTCCTAGTCATGAATTAAGGAAATCAAATATACATGGTAAATATAAATAATACATTTAAGGCATGATTTGAATCTAAGTCTACCCGGACATAACATGAATATAGTTATGTACGGACTCTCGTCACCTCGTGTGTACGTAGATCCCAAAACAAGTAGCACACAACAATTAATATACCTAAGGGAATAAATCCCTCTTACAAGGTTAGGCAAGATACTTACCTCACTTCCAATCTCACTACTCAGTTCTAAGACCTCACTAGTAGACCCCAAACGACGTTGAGCGTTACTTGTGTTACTTGATGAAACTACCCTCAAAATAGCTCAAAAGTGGATAGAATTCACTTACCTTGTGTTACTTGATGAAAATATCCTCAAAATATCTCCCCAAATTCGGCCACTCCAAGTGGAATGAGAGAAAAGAGAGCTAAGTCTCGTATTAAAATTCAAGTCTGCCCAGGCCCATCCTTCTTCGCGATCACGGAAAAGGCCTCGCGATCACGAAGGCCAAGCTGGCTCAGCCCAGCTACTACCTCTACGCGTTCACGACATAAGTATCATATTCATGATGCCTAGAATCCCCTACCCTTTGCGTTCGTGGTCCCTCATCCACGTTCGCGATGGCCAACAGCTTTCCTTCCCACTCCGCCTCGAACCTTCTTCACATTCGCGAACCAGCCTACGCGTTCGCGAAGGAGGACTAGATCCTTCACCGCGTTCGTGATGGATTCCTCGCATTCGCGAAGAGTAAAGTCTAGGACCCTTCTCCAAACTTCTTCGCGATCGTGGGACAACCTTCATGATCGCAAAACACACCAGCACACCAGCAATTTTAGCCATGTTTAATTATGCTCTAGGTGGTTCAAAACACACCTGAGCAACTCGGGACCCCATCCAAATGCACCAACAAGTTCATAAACATGTTACGAACTTACTTGAAGCCTCAGAATACATAAAATAACATCAGAACTATGAATCACAACTCAAAACCAAATTAATCAACTTCTAAGCTTCAAGCTCATTTCAACCAACTCCGAACGCGATGAAACACACTTAGACTACTCGGAATGATGCCAAATTTTACGCAAAAGTCATGAATCACAATACGAACCTATTCAGAGGCTCGAAATCCCAAACGGACATTGATAACACCAAAGTCCACTTCAAGTCAAACTTAGAAAATTCTAAAACCTTCAAAGTGCCAGCTTTCGACAATAAGCGCTGAAATGCTCTCGATCCACCCGAAACTCGATCCGAACATAGTCCCAAGTCCAAAATCATCATAAAATCTATTGAAACCTTCAAATCCCGGTTCTTAGGTCGTTTACTAAAAATGTTGACTCAATTCAAACGTGGCCACCTTAGGCCATTATTATGGAACTAAGTATTCCGAATTCAACCCGAACCCTTTCAAAATCAAATCAACCATCCCCTAAAGTCATAAAATTGTAAAATCACATTCGGTAACTCTTAAATAGGGGAACAGGGATCTAGAAAGTAAAATGATCGGTCGGGTCTTTACATTCTCCACCTCTTAAACAAACGTTCATCCTCGAACGGGTCTAGAATCATACCTGGAGTGCCGAATAAGTATGCATATATGCTTCGCATGTCCTCCTCGATCTCCCAAGTTGCCTTCTTGACTGGTTGACCCCTCCATTGGACCTTCACTGCTAAAATCCTCTTAGACCTCAACTTGCGAACCTGCCTGTCAACAATGGCAACTGGCTCCTCCTCATAACCCGAGCTCTCACCAAGCTGCAGTGTACTGTAATCTAACACATGTGATATGTCAGCATGGTGCCTCCGGAGCATAGACACGTGAAATATCGGATGAACTCCCGATAGGCTACGAAGCAAAGCAAGCTTGTATGCAACCTCTCCAACTCGCTCCAACACCTCAAATGGACCGATGAACCTTGGACTTAGATTTCCCCTCTTTACGAACCTCATGATACCCCTCATCGACGAGAATTTTAAGAGAACCTTCTCGCCTACCATATAAGACAAATCACGCGCCTTCTGATCCGTATAACTCTTCTGTCTGGACAGAGCTGCGCGAAGTCACTTCTAAATTAACTTTACCTTATCCAAGGCATCTTTCATGAAATCAGTACCATATAACCTAGCCTCGCCAGGATCAAACCAACCGATGGGGGAACAACACCGCCGACCATACAAAGCCTCAAATTGAGCCATCTCAATGCTGGACTGATAGATGTTGTTATAAGCAAACCCGGCCAACGGTAAGAATTGGCCACTGCCATTCGAAATCAATTACACATGCTCTAAGCATGTCCTTCAGAATCTGAACTTTCTGCTCCGATTGTCCATCGATCTGCGGTTGAAAGACCGTGTTGAGCTCTACCCTGGTACCCAATCCATTCGGTACATCTCTCTAGAAATGTGAAGTAAACTCAGGGCCTCTATCTGAAATAGGTACACCATGCAACCAGACGATTTCCTAAATATAAATCTGGGCCAACCTTTCTGAAGTGTAAGTAGTAACCATTAGAATAAAATATGCAAACTTGGTCAGCCTGTCGACAATGACCCAAATATCATCGAATTTCCTCAACGTCCGCGACAACCCAAATATGAAATCCATAGTGATGCGCTCCCACTTCCACTCTGGCATAACCATTTGCTGAAGTAGGCCACTTGACCTTTAGTACTCGTATTTATCCTACTGGCAATTCAGACATCTAGAAACATACTCAACTATGTCCTTCATCATCCACCGCCACCAGTAATACTGCCTCAGGTCATGATACATCTTCGTGGCACCTGGATGAATAGAACAACGCAAACTGTGTGCCTCCTCTAGAATTGTCTCCCTCAGGCCATCAACATTAGGAGCACATAAGTGGCCTTGGAGTCGCAGAACACCATCATCACTAATAGTAACATCCTTGGAATCACCCCGTAGTACCGTCACTCTAAGGACCAACAAGTGTGGATTATAATACTGACGAGCCTTGATATGCTCGAATAAGGAAGTTTGAGTCACAACACATGCAAGAACTCGACTAGGCTCCGAAATATCCAACCTCACAAGTCGGTTAGCTAAGGACTGGATGTCCAAAGCCAATGGCCTCTCCCTAACTGAAATGAATGCCAAACTACCCATACTGTCGGCCTTTCTGCTCAAGGCATCC